TGAAAAATCCACCAAGCTTTTTCTCATCGACTAGTAAGCTCAACAGTTCTTCACATATAAGACTGCTTCCTTTCTTGTCCTCTGAGAGACCACAAATATCCTAAGGGAGTTGGAGAGAATATAAGATCCTGTAGCTAGAGAAGTAACTATATGAAGACAGAGACTCTGAAACACTCCAGAAATCTCTTAAAAAGTTTTGGGGATTTCTATCTCTCAAGAGAAAATAAGGAAGGGAATTAGAGCATGGACAATCATGTGGGAAAGTGGACATGACCTGTCATTGATGAAGATCTAGGACATCTGTGCCTAAGCTCTGCAACTGGGACCAATAAAAGAATGCTCTCTTTAGTTCTTCTGGCAGGAAGTCAAGCAGGAATTTAATAGCTTAGATCTGACATCAGATTGGAAGAAATAGAAGACAGGTGCTACTAACCCCATGGCTGTGTGCTGTCTTCCCTAGTGGTCTGCTCTGGTGCTGCAGAGCAGACCTCTTTCACACCTTCAATAAATATAAAACCATGCTAGACCTTGTACCTGTCTTATTCAAATCTTTGATCAACTCAACAAGAACCTGGAAAGTATCTCTAGAAAGAACCCACAGCACCCCAAAACTTTGGTAACAGGGTAGCCCAGCCTATAAACATTGACAGACTGGTGAAGCTGTGACATAATAGGAATCTTCCCTGTTGGTAGGAATACAAAATGGTATGGCCACTGTGGAAGTTAATTTGGTTGTTCCTTACAAAATTAAACATACCCTTACCACAAAATTCATCAATGTATCTCTTGATATTTACTGAAATGAACTTAAAATCATGTCTACATAGAAAATTTACACACAGACATATATAACAGCTTTATTCATACTTGTAACAGATCATTGAGAAACATGACCTCGTAGTATGATGGTGAAAGAAAAATACTAATATCTCTTCATATGTTGCAGAAGTTAAGAATTACAAAGTACAAAGAATACTTTGATAGAAAAGCTAAGGAATATTTTGATAGGAAAACTAATGAAATCAAGAAAGAGATGACAGAAAAGCTAAAAAGCATAAGAAAATAAGAAGACAGCACAGCAAAAAGTATGAAGCAGTCCAACTGCTGGGAGTGGAAGAGTTGGAATCCAGTCTACAAGAAAAAGGTAAGCCCAGAGAGGTCCAGAGCCCCAGTGGTCAGTAACAGACTGAGTATTCTAGCTGCAAATGAAATCCATTGTTTCTGCCAGCTGTAAATGCACTACAATGATTCAGTCTAAAAGTAACTAAAGTGGCTGCCTATCATCAAATAAAAGGATTAAAATCTTTAACATACTCACTTTCCTTGAAAACTCTAAACAAAGGAATTCTAGTTAAAGACATTTTACTCTCAGTAGTTAAAGACACTGATAAATCTTTTGACAAGTAAACCCCTTTATTCTTCCCAAATATTTCCACTTATCCTCTCTAAAAGATGAATAGACTACCTTATTTCTTCCTTATCTAAAACCAAAGGCCTTCTGTGGTCCAGAGAAAGCCAGTATGTCAAAATTACAACAATAAATAGAATTTTAAACACAATACAAGAAGATCATACCAGAAAATCTGCAATAGTAGAAGGTGCTATGGGATCCAGGAAAAGCTATTTGTTCCTTTTTTTCTTATTCATGTTTGTATTACATGCAATTTACAGTCTTCTTGGGAAGTGACCACGTATACATAACACAACTTGAAACATTTTTCATATAATCCCCTTCACCCTCCTTCCCACCTCCCTCCCTTTTCATCTAACCTTTATTTCCCCATTTTCACTCTTGATATTACTTTTTGTACCAGGGATCAGACTCACGACCTCATGCTTCGCATCAGGTGCTTGTGCCACTGAGCTAAACACCAGCCCTTGATATTATTAACTTGATTGGATAAAGAAAATATTGTATCTATAGATAATAGAATACTATTGGCTATAAGGAAAAATTTGAGAAGGATATAATGTTGAGTGGAATAAATCAGACCCACAAACATAATTATCATATTAGTATCTCTCATTTGAGTAAAGCATAGTACAAAGATCACAATAAAAGATGGATAGAAGGAGACAAGAGATAGCTGTCTTGCAAATAGTAATAGGATCAAGAGAAGGAGAGAGAGGGAAGGGAAGGGGAAATAACCATAATAAAGTTTTACCATGTACAGGAATCTAATAACCTCAGTGAATGAAAAGACATTCTTAAGATTATAACGTTTACCTTTTTCCATAGCCTCAAACCTCCATAAAAACCCCGTTCTCTCACCCTGACTGGTAGGTCACTCTTGAAAACTCAGCTACTAATTTCCCTTTTCAGCCTACGGCAAAATTAAGCTCTTATCTTTTCTACATTCCTTGTCTATTGGTAAATTCTTTTATTGGTCCACCCTCCAGTTCCCCTTGAACCCTCACTCACAGCAGTGACCACTCCAACACTGCAGGCTAGCTTTGGAGGAGAGATCCACTGCATACTTACTACTTGTTTTGTGTGTTATAACCAGAAGCCCTCTTGAGAAGGGGCTTATTGTTTAACTCAGGGAATGTAAGTCATGAAACAATAATAATAAAAGACCTTGAAGATTCCATGGTGTGGTGATTAGGTGGAAGGAGGTAACCAGAGGTATTTGTGGAGAGGGGAACAGTTAGTTGTGCATCCTCTAATAAGTTTCCACAGAAAGGGCTCACGTGATGGAGGACACAGTGGTCAGCAATACTACTCTTTGTAGTGAGGAGGGAAATACATCACATGTGATTATCTGAGGAGGCTGGTTTTGATCAAGCCTTGATAAGTGCTTTGTTTCCATCATGGATTTGTTTGCTTTTGCCACTCTCCAAAGCATTTGGGAATATACCTCAGGATGTTGGCATGTCCCCAGGTGTTCTTTTCCAATTGAATGCTAATATTTAGAAATATATGCTAATAATTAGAAATATAGAATATTTAGGGGTAAGGATATAGCTTAGTGGCACAGCACTTGCTTGGCAAGGGCAAGGTCCTGAATTAGATTCCTGACACACACAAAAAAAATGCCAGACATATAATATGTTTAATTTATCCTTTACATTTGTTTGCTGTGTTCTAAATGTATTATATATTTCTTTAATATTTTTCATTATGGTTCACAAAGTTGACTGTTACTCAACAATTGCTGTTAAAATACATGCTAAATAAACAAATCATTATTGATTTGACTTAGCTGAGAAATGAGCTTTAGTTTATCCTAAGCTATGAAACTCTTTCAACCAAGAGAATGAACATATGGCAGTATTTTTGATGTAGTTATGAAAAAGTTATTTTAAAGTTCAATAGCCAAAACTATAATTTTATAAAGCGCTGTATTCTGTACTGCTGCTTTCATTAATAGATATGTAGTTTTGATAAAGGATTTGAGAAATTTGTCAAAGAAAAACTAGAGAACTTCAAAGACTGGTACGGTCTCCTTTTTCTAGAATGTGAAGATGTTTCATAATTTCTAAGACCTCTGTACTTTTAACACAGAAAAATGACTCATTTCTTAAACAGCAAATCATAATTCAATATTTCAGATATGCTTAACATTTTATCACTTTTTAAATTGTGCTCACCATGGGGCTGATTAAAATAACAAATTCTGCTGTTACTGAAACAAAATCCTTGGGGGTAAATTTCATGCACTTGAGAACCATGACAGCTCTCTGGTAGCACCATAATGAATGAGAAATGTCTTCACATCCTGCCACCCTTGCTCAGGAGGTTCCCAGTGAGGCCTGCACCCTCCACTTTCTGCTCCTAGCACGTGGACTTCTTGCACATTGCTCTGCATTTTGTTTTGTTTTAATATTTATCTTTCTCAGAGTCTATATTATACTCTTTTAGTTTTTTTGTCTGATACACTGAAAGACAAATTCCTTTTTTTTTTTTGATCGTCTTTTTTTTTCTTTTTTGAGACAGGGTCTCACTATGCAGTTCAGGCTGACCTTGAGCTCACTTTGTAGCCCAGGCTGGTCTCGAACTCGCAACGATCCTCCCACCTATGCCTCCTGAGTGCTGGGATTACAGACATGAGCCACCACGCCTGGCTGACAAATTCCATTTTCATGTCTAACTAATAAATATAATAGTGCATAGAATATAAGAGTCATTTGATACAATTCCTGAATATACAAAAGAAGTGAATGAATGATAACATTAATGCCTCTGATTCTACCAGTAAAAAGAATTTGTTCCACTGGTCAGGAACAAAGAGCAGAACTGAATGTGTCCCTACATCTCATCCCCCTTCAGACATCTTTTCAGCAAGATGACCGCCAGTTTTACTGTCCAAATGCATTTTGCCATTTCTTTCAGAATCTTACCAGTCATACTAACATTACCAGGCTAAGCTTGTTTTAAACTGAACACATCCTAAGCATTGAGGCATGTGCTAGGTAGCTTCATACTACCTGAGATAATAAAATTATAAAGAGAACAGATTTATTTTGGAGGATTCAAGCTAGAATTGTATAACTTTATTGCATGGCCTTGGTCATGCATCACTCAACTTTTGGCCGGGAAGTCAAAGAGCAGAAAAGAAAAGGAATAGAGCACATTACCCGCTTTGTGAGGCATACAGTTCATGACCTAACTATCTCCCATTAAGTCCCACTTCTTCAAGTTTCATCAGCTCCCCATAGTACCAATGCTGTAGACCAAACCTTTAATGCATGGCCTTCTTGAGGGCCCCTATGTTCAACTGCAGCAAGGTACAAAACCTTTAACTTAAACTTTACAGGGATTTTAAGCAGGGTTTTGAATAAAATTTGTGCTCATAATTATAAATTTAAATTAGCTTTATTAAAGGCAATTCAGTACAGCCTTCTGATTTGCCATGTCATCTGAAAATGGAATGCCTATATTTATTTTAAAACTCCCACATTGGTCCATGATATATTTCAAGCAAAAATACTTGACTTCCTTTTATTATTATACCTATGGAATTTTATTACCATATTAAGTCCAGAAACAACAGTTGTCACTAAGAAAATACTTTTCTACCAAGCTCTCTTTTCAGAACCTGCTTAATCTCCTTGTTCCTGAGACTGTAGATGAAGGGGTTCAACATGGGGATCACCACCATGTAGAACACAGACACCACCTTGTTCTGGTCAGTGGAGTAGCTGGATTTGGGCATCGCATAAATGAAGAAAACTGTTCCAAAGTAGAGAGTCACTGCAGTGAGGTGGGAGGTGCAGGTGGAGAAGGCTTTGTGGTGCCCTTCAGAGGATCGCATCTTCAGAATGGTGATGAAGATATAAATATAGGAAACAGCTATGATAAATACTGTGACCACAATGATGGAGCCAGCAGAAAATGAGGGGACCACTGCAGAGAGGCTGACATCAGCACAAGAGAGTTCAACTAAAGGAGCAAAATCACAGAAAAAATGATTGACTTGATTTGACCCACAAAAGGATAAAGTAAAGAAGGAAAAAGTAAAGAATGAAGCATTAATAAAACCACCTGTGTAAGTCACTACAAGTAAATTGACACAGACTTGTGTGGACATTTTGGTTGAGTAAAGCAGTGGGTTGTGGATTGCCACAAAGCGGTCATATGCCATGGCAGCCAGCAGGAAGCACTCAGCTGCTCCAAAAAAACCAGTTGAACCCAGCTGGATGCCACATGCAACATAGGAAATTATGTTTGTTTCCACTAGGAAGTTTACAAGCATATTGGGTGTCACAGAAAATGAGAAGCCTATGTCTGCAAAAGCCAGGTTGCTCAAAAAAAAGTACATGGGATGGTGGAGTTCTGAAGAGAGTCTGATAAGAATGATTGTGCTGAGATTACCAGATATGGTCACCAGGTGGAAGCACAGGATGATCACAAAGAGGGTGATTTTAAGGATTGGATCGTTTGTTAAACCCAACAAAATGAACTCTGTTACTGCAGTGTGGTTCCCATCCATAAGTAAATTCATGAGTCAATGTAGCAGCTGAAAAAAAAAATCAGTTATTTCTGATGGGTATTTTTGAAGCATGAATCAGTATTTCTTTCAGCATATTATGTAGCTAGACTAAAGAATCACTATATGAAAAAATTTATATATATATGATGGTTTAATTTTCATTAACACTTATGGACTGTATAAATAAGGATATTTGATTTTATGGAATGATAATTCTATCTTTAATATTAAAAATATTTCTTCATAAAACTTGAAAAATTTTCTTCATTGGTCTATTTTTCTTTAAATATTATATTATTTCTAAAATTGCACTTAAAATGACATTAAAACTGAATGTAAAAAAAATACAATACCAATAAGAGAACCACAAATGAATGCAGAGCAGATTGGAGAAAAGTTTTCAAGTAGCAATAATCACGCCTCACATAACCTTCACTGGCTACATTATTGCAACTGCACAAAGCTGAAAGACAAAGAATGTGATTATATGCATAGGTTTTTCCAATCAAAAGTTATATGATGGCAAACTTCATTATGTGTTTTAAAATGATCACTATACAGCAAAGAATTACATATATATGCATACTTATAAGTATAGTTTATTATATTTTCCACAAAATGGTACTTTTATGTTCATTATTTTTAGCTGGTTAGTGGATTCTGAATGATACTGTATAAATTGTACAAGGATTCAGAGAAAGTGTTAAGTTAGTATATAAATCCCAGGAAGTCTGATTGCATATTCCTTTATTAACTAAAGTGTAGTTAAATAATAGTCACTGTGAAGTCCAAAACATCTGACAATGACTGAATAACAGGTTCATATAGGCCTTCGGACAGCTAATGTGTAACAAAGCAATGTACTCTGTTTTTGTACACTTCACAGTTATCTATCAGCAAAATGTGACTATTTAATAAGAAGAAATAAAATGGTTTTTAATACTAAACCAGACAGAAATGTTAAGTTGGGGTTATAAATGAAGTCATCTACGATACATTCATTGGATATTTTTTACATATTTTAAATTGAAAATATTGCCCTATTTTGTAGCTTGAAAAATATTTAATATGAAAACTAAATTCATTTTAAAGAATTAAAGCACTTCCAATTAAACCAATTATTTCTGATGGATATTTTTGCAGCATGAATCAATATTACTTTCAGCATATTATGTAGCTAAACTAAAGAATAGGAATGATTAATGAAGGCATGGCCATACTGTCCCACATTTAAAAATTTTCTGAGTATATAAGCCAAATTTTTCTATACTTGCCTTTAATCTAAAGCATTTAGATTCATGTATCAAGTCTTTCTATAAAGTTTTTTTATATTTTTACATTTTAAGTCTTCAGTTTAAATCTTTAAGCATCAGCAAATACCCAAAACTTTTGACAGATTCCCAAGTGTGTGATGAAAGACAATGTGGGTGTTTTTCTTATGGATAAATAAACTAGGAATCTTGGAAACTTGGATTGTGATGGTACTCAACTAAAAATAAGGGTAGAAACAGAGAAACTCAACCAAAGTCTTTTCAAATGGTAAATGAAAATAAGTAAGTCGGATTCATTAACAAAAGCCAAAGTCTTACCTCCTGGAATTCTGTAATCTTTTTGCAACAAGGCTGATTCAGAATATTTATAACAGCTCCCTTTCATTGTCTTTTGGGGATAAACCTCTGAAGACACTAGAGAGTTAAACATGAATTCAAAAACACCATGGAGCATCATTATTTTTTGTAGTGAATATTGAGCAGTTAAATTCACACAAAACATTCCAACTAAATTTTCAAGACTGTCAACTCTCAAGTGGACAATTTATTCTTTTGTTTCTATCTAACTTCATATATAACTTTGTCACTTTCATTTAATAATTTCTGGAGAATGTAACATATTTTATAATTGTCCCTTGCTCATGGATAGGAGAAACCAACATTGTGAAAATGACCATACTCCCAAAACTGTCATACAGATTTAATGGACTCCTGATCAAAATTCCATTAGCATAATTCACCGATCTAGAGAAAATATTCATAAAATTCATTTGGAAACAGAAGAGACCTGGAATAGTAAAGACAATCCTGGACAACAAAGGCAAAGCAGGAGGCATAACAACCCTGACTTGAAAGTATACTGTAAAGCTACTCTGAAAAAACAGTAGTGTCAAAAAACAGACTTGAGGATCAGTGAACACAGATTAGAAGATGCAGACATGCTTACAAACACACTCAGCCAGTTTATCATTGACAAAAGAGCCAAATGTGTTCACTAAAAGAAAACTAGAATGATAGCCTCTTTAATAAATGGTGCTGGAAAACTGACTTTCCATATTCCCAAGACTAAAATAAACCCATGTCTATCATCATGCACTAAATTAAAGTCAAAATGGATCAGAGATCTAAATATTAAAACAGAAACTCTAAATCTACTGGAAGAGAAAGTAAGTAGAAACCTTGAAGGCATAGGGGTAGGCAGAGAGTTCATGAAAAAAAAAATGTACAAGGGAAACACTTTAAAGAATCAACAACTAGGATCTCATCTAATTTAAAAAATGATTCTTTTTTATTTTAAAGATAGTAAAATCCAACAAAACAAAACAGAACAAAGCCAATCAAAACAAAGCAGCAAAACTGGTACAGAACTTCAAAGCAGGATACTAGGAAAACAACAATTGCTACCATAGTATAGCTTGTTCTTGCATATCTAGTACATCTTGTATAGTTGTCCATTCCATCAGGTATAGAAAAATCAAGCCAAAAACAGAATAGAATAAAACTAATCAAAACAGAACGTTGAATAAAGCAAAACACTTAATTAGAACAAAGCAAAACAGTGAGAACAATCTTCGGTTTCAAAGACAAGATAAAAAGAAATCCCCCGTATTTGCTATATTACACACTATTCAGACTCTGACCCCAGGCCTGCATAGTCAACCAACAATACAAGCATTTAGTTGCTTTTTGTACCTTAGTTACTATCAACTCAGCCTGTCCTCCGAGCCCACCAGTTTTTATGGGAGGTTGGGAGAGTGTTTGATTCTCAGCTCCTGTGCTGGTAGGCTCACAGAAAGTGCTGAATTTTCTCTTTCTGGAAACTGCATGGCTTGTGGAGCTTACCAGAAAGCCTGGATAGTTGTCTTGTTAAAAGTTTTTGCTCTAAAAGGAATCACCAACACAGTGAGAAGAAAACTCACAGAGTGGGAAAGAATTTAAGTCAACTGTCCCTCAGACAAATCACTTCTATCTAGAATGTTTAAGAATTGGAAAAAAGTAAAGTTTTCCAAATTCAAATACCCAGTCCAAAAGTGGGCAGCTGAGATGAATACACACTTCTCAGATGAATAAATACAAATGACAAATGAATATGTGAAAAAATGTTCAACGATATTGGTCATTTGAGAAATGTAAATTAAAACAGCAGATTCTGTCTCACTCCAGAAAGAATGGCTATCATCAAGAAATTAACCAATGACAAATGCTGGTGGGGCTTTGAGGAAAAGGGGACTCTTTTCCATTGTTACTGGGAGTGTAGACTGGTGCCACCATTGTGGAAATCAGTGTGAAGATTCCTCAAAAAACTAGTATTTGAACTCCCATTCTAGCCATCTATTCTCTTGGATATTTTCCCAGAAGAATTAAAAACATCATATCACAGTAATATATGTACACTTATGTTTATAGCAGCAGTTTATTTTTTTTAATTTTATTTAAAAGAAAAAAGAGAAAAAACAAAACAAAACAAAGCAGTGTAAGGGTACATGTAATACAGAACTACAAAAAAAAAAAAAAACAGTAAAAAATCACCAGTTAATAGATTACATATTATCATCTTAGAGATAGTTGCTCAAATCACAGTATCAAAGCATACAAAGTGGACTTTCAAACAGTGAGACTGCAAACAGTTGTGTTCAATGATCCAACCAAAAACATTAATATGGTCAGCTATTTAACACCCCTAAACACACTTGCTGTTGTATCCTTTAGAGCTCTTTTTTCCCCCTCTCTTTTTTACAATAAAATTTATACATTTTGGGTTTTATTACTCCTTAGTTCTTATTACTTTTTTGGGGGGGAGAGAATAAAGTCAAATACGGCAAAACAAAGCTGTCAGTCAAAACCAAGGATAGACATAGCACATGATGTAAAACAGAGTACAAGGTTATCAACAATGGTTATCAACAATGTCTCTTGTCTCCTTAAAAAGAATTGTCTATCTCATTAGATATTATAAAGTTGAACAAAACAGTAGAGAACAAGACCAATAAAACTTAAGCATTGTAAACATTACAGGACTTCCATGGGAGACAATAGTCAAACCAGAATGGGCATCTTAGTGAATCTTATTGCCTTCAAAGTAGTTGCCTATACCCTCAAACTTGATACTATCATACAGAATGGAACAGAGTCTAATCAGTCAAAACAAGATAGTGGGAGTATTATAGGACTTCAAAATAAGTTAATAGGAAATTTTTAAAAAGTTACTGTTATATATCCTGCTAACTTTTTTAATTTTTCCCCTTAATTAAAAAAACATAAGAAATAACTAAATAATTTTTTAATGAATAAGGGAGAGATTGAGATAAAACAGGACATAACAATATAACAATACAGGTCAAAGCATGACTGTTTCAGCAACCTAGTGCTTCACCACCGACTTAATAGTAGTTACCATAGTGTCTGTCTTTTTCCTTGAAATATTTGGATAAAACTTCATATACTATAGCTTCAAATATTTCCATATCAAGAAGCCCAGAATAAAGCCTTTCTAACTAATAAGTGAAAACTTTATAAGGTTTCAAGGCCACATAATGGGGAATCATGATTACCACATATTTTTATATATTTGAATCATTACTTATATTAGGGAAACTATTCGGTATTCACACATGTGAGATTGATTTATTTCACTTATGAGTATGGTCTCAAGCTGTGCCCATTTATTGATAAATATCTCAATGTGATCCTTCTTTATAGCTGAATAATACTCCATTGTATAGAAATACCACAACTTTTTAT